AGATTGAACCAGGTCGAAAGAACTGAACAGTGCTTCTTGGTTTTTCAGTTCACACTTCATTTGCTCTGTACACGACGAGATTCAGTATGCACTAACAACATCGATAATTCCACATTTCAACTCTGCAATTTCTCTGGATGTAAAAAGACTAATAATTGTGATTCCCAGGTGTCAATCAAAGGCAGCCGATTGTTTGCTTTCCTGACCTCGAAAGAGTACACAACGTAGTACGAAACACACAATGGTGTGAAATGAGAACAACCGATCTAAGCTCATCGAATCCCAGTAGCGTAAACGTCACTTCGATCTGTGCTAATATTGAAAAAGCTGAATTCGTTTCGCGTGGAGTAAATTTTCACCACGCCGTTGATTGTGTGAGCTTTAATTACACATCGTCCAACTTGGTTCGATTCGATAGCTAAACTGTAAAGCAGAGAGAATAGCCGTACAACATGCACTGCTTTCATCTGTGAACTAAACTGAAAAAATGGCAACAAAAATTGCATCTGAATGTTAGCCCACCAAATGATAAATCTATTGTACGACACACCATACGCTCGATGAATACAAGTACGTGTAATACGCAGAAACAACGTCAAAATGCAATGCTCTCAAAATGCTGAACGCGGGCAAAATATAACAGCCTGGGGAACGGGAGGAAAACACTGGTAACCCGGAGTGGTTGATTGTCTTCAGCAACCATAACCTATTAGGTGACGACTGTATAGGCTTCCTCAAAGACTTTCTCCTCATTCACCGAGGATTTCGAAACGAACCGCAATTTCATTGAGAAAGATCCCGTACCACTTATGTATTCACAGAGACTGGTTCAAACCAGCAAAATTAAGTAATTGGGAACTATAAGGAATAGTAGTGTGAAATATAAATAAAAACAATCTTAATTATATCCAGTTCAATAGATAGCTGTATAATGTGATTTCAGAAATGAGGAGGGTCCAACCGTAGGGCTGTCAGGGGAGACAACGACGCTGGAAAATTAGGTGATGGTAAGGGAATTCAAAGGTATAATTGCTGGAATGATAATCTACACCGATCTACCAAAGACACTCAGGAAATCTACTACAATCAATCTCCTGCTATGTCGCACTCATGAGAAGTCGCAGTTTTTAATATGTTCTCACTTTTCAGCAAACCCAGACCAACCGTATACACAACAACGTAGGTTCTGACGATGCAATGTTGCCTCCTCAGTATACCGCAC